CACCTTCATTCTGAGATCAGTTTTACGAAAGCGGGTGTGAGCGGTGTGAGAGTCATAGGTGAGCAAACATTGAGAAAGATGGACCGAACAGAAATTAGCATAGTCAATAAAGGACGTCACAAAGGTCAATATTACTGGAGTAGCCAGATAGCTCATTAAACTCCTTCTCCATACCCAGACGTAATGCCCAGAACTGAATTTTTATTAATCAGAAGTTGAAAAATAGGTATAAACCCGTCACCGTCCTCATGGTAGAGTTTATTGACCTTTCAATTACCGCAATTTTGTAAAAACTTCAGCGAAGACCTGACCGTGTTCGTCTTCCTACAAAGATTTCGGAAGACGGCAATCCATCGATTTTTGAATTTTCTCTCGTTCTCGTTATTGTGGCAACTATAATAGCACCTACATCAAAAAGGAGTGGAAAATCACCGAACAAGCTATACAATCTGATTTGTCCCCTTCCAGATCAACCCGTGGTGCTTCGAAACAGCGAAGAGATCAGATCAATGTCGAAATCCAACGACTTCGGGATCTTCTGCCGCTGTCGGAATCCATCAAGGATCGGCTGTTCCAGCTCCAAGTTATGTCGCTGGGCTGCATATACATTCGAAAGCATCGCTATCAAAAGCACAGTGAGTTTCATACTTCACAGAAACATAGAAGATAGAGTTTTTGGCGTTTCGGATTGCTCCCCGCACTCGACTCCCACTCGGAATCGTAGTGGCATTTTAGATACTTATGTGGCTTATACTTCTGACCATGCGTGGGTGATGGTGAGACGCTTCCCACTACACCACCTTTATATTCCTCAGCCTCATTATATTACATTATGCCAACGGTTGGTTCACCTGGCTAAAGTATTGTATCAAGTTTTACGTGATATACATCTTGTATGTTTCACCGATGTAGATTATGGGTTCCATCGCAGTGAAAAAATTTATTGACAGTCTCAGAGTGAGAAATTTCGAAAAGCCTTGGAATTATCTCCATACAAAGACTCGTGTAACTAAATTATCTCCATACAAAGACTCGTGTAACTAATCATGTAATTCGTGTCTTTGGGAACTGAATTTCACTTTTTTCAGTCCTGAGAACGATAGCCGAAGACAGTGTGCCATTACCCAAAGGACTGGATTCATGCAAGGCTCTGAGAGGGTTTCTCATCATGCTGAACAGAAGCGGAAAGTTGCTGCACGTGTCCGATAACGCCAGCGAATACCTTGGACATTCTATAGTAAGTTTACTAGATCTCTTGCTGTTTCACCCATAAGTTTAAGAAAGTGTCTTACACAGTAATTTTGAGTCGCAGAAAAGATATGACCACCCCATGGGACTCCGAGGGGAGCGAGATTCGAACTTGTTGGACTAGGATAAAATTACTTGAAATATTCAGGGCGATGTATAAACCTTTCTCCAGCATCTCTTCATTTCAGATATCCTGCTGGGGATATAGGTTACATCGAGCTTTTCAGGGTGGGGTCATACGTCCCATTCTCAGCCTATGGAGCTGAATTCATGAAAATTTTCTTATCATCGAATCAAAAGGTTCAAAGGATTTTCTAGGAGGAAATCATGTGCCAAGGCGATTCAATCTTCGACTTGGTGGACCCACGGGATCATCCTACGATTCACAACGAGTTGAATAGTGGACCCCAGCCGACAACCTCTTTCCCTGAAGAACGTGTATTCCTATGCCGTTTAAATCTTGCTAGAACAGCTAAACGACAGCTACAGTATCACAAGGTGGGTATTATGGTAATAAGCTCAGGCTGGACTGATAAGCTCGCGTCGCATGTGAAGGAACATTGGCACAAATCTAAAATTTCAGTTCATCCTCCTACAAGGACGGTATATCCACCCAACAGAGTACTTTCAAGCAATCGCTGGCACACCAGAAGCGGTATACCTTTCTGCTCATTTTCACCTTTAAACGCTACAGTACTTCCACATGAGGATGTAGTCCGCAAATGTTCTGGAGCCTTGACTCATTAGGCTTAACAAGTGCCAAATGTCATTCCCCAGTACCGGTATACTAAACCTGTAGGAATTACGATTTGATCACATGGTCAAATGTTAAACAAGAGAGCTACGCCGAGAAATCTACCTTAACAGCCGTCCGATTAACGGGAAGTGAGCAGAGAAGTGAGCACCATACATCAACCCCATGGAGCTCACGTAAGCCATAAGTGGGTCGAATATGGCCCAGCAATCCGGGTGTATGGCATTTTCTGCGAGGACCCCTCGACTTCAACCAGTTCTATACTCTGTCCCCTTGCCGACTTTCTACCCTCATATATGGCCATGTTTTTACAGATTCAACCCGTCTTTGCTGCCTATTGTCAACCGGTAATCAATCCGGAAAATGCTGAAACGCTCTCCATGGGCAATACGGATGTCTTCAGTAGTCAGCATTTTCTCGATATGACGTTTAAAGAAGTCGATCATATGTGAGTTTTATGAAGTTGCTAACCCTTCCTCCATAGATGGAATTTTTTCTTCGTCGAATTCATCTTCGTCATCGTATGCTGTAATTTAAAGACACTTGTTGACAACAAACTGAATAATCCATTGATACACTCTCCCTGTGGATTGACTTGAGCAACAGCAATCGTCAACAAGTAGAAATAACCACTAAAATACTTAATTACAGAGATCACTATGTGATGATGCATTACGGCGCTATTCTATTTATAGGTAACATTGAAAGAGAATACTAGTGCAGGCGCTACTGCACTACATAGTTATCCCAATCAATCCTATAAGTGCTTCCGGAAAGTAACGCCGAAGATTTCGCAGTGGGCTTTTTCTGGGATGTTCTGAAAGTTTTTAGGAAGCTGTCATGCAAAGGCACTACGAATTCGAATTCGGCCACTCTCTTGTTGAAGCCCACCGAATATGAGTTAGGTAGTGGGAGTTGAAGAGCTCTAAGGCAGTTCTGTGTTCACCGCATTCCATCTCTTCAGCGAGCACCAAAATATCGAAAAAGAGCCCCTATTTGGTCGAACAACTGAGCTATCATGAAATCTCTTGATAGGTCATGCGCACAGTGTGTAGCGTCCCTACACAACTTTTCTGTGGAAACACCCAGAACATTCGAGGGAAAATCTGGGCAGTTGTAAAATTTCTGTCAGTTCTTCACACCCGTAATGAAAAAAAAGTAGGCAAGCGACATTTTCTATTCCTTGATNCGTGATGGTCTCGATGATTTCTTCAGAGAGGTACGGTAGTTTTTCGTTGCTGCCAGCTTCGGTAGNGGCAGTTGTAAAATTTCTGTCAGTTCTTCACACCCGTAATGAAAAAAAAGTAGGCAAGCGACATTTTCTATTCCTTGATAGGGTGTCTTTCAGGTGTGCTCATCACCTTGGATACCATCGTGAAGAGTTACGAGGACAAAGTTGGTATACCTTGCTACATCCTGCATATATTCCTGAGGTCGCTTATAAACATCGATTATGTGAGTTTTGATTCATCATTTGGATTTCAAGAAAAACTGAGTTAGTTGATCCGTAGGAGCGCGCCATGCCTTTCGGTTTTGCGTGATAAAATGCATGGCTAATCAAATGATTGACAAGCCTCACGCCATTCGCCACCTGTTTTTTTCAAAAGGTGCTCCCAAAAAGTAGGAATAAGGTAGTTCCCATATAGCTAATTACTAAACTATTCATATCAGATTTCTTCCATTCGAATACTATTTCCAAGTTTCAGTATGCCAAGAAAAGGAAGGATCAGTACTGGCTCTGATCAAAATGCGATCCGCAGATGGCGAATGGCTTTGGATGCATACAGTGTTTGCAGTCCGTGGTAACCTCTGCCATGAAGTACAGGAAGGTCGACGAGTTCGGCACGTCATTCACTGCTACTACCAGACTTTAAGGTAGGATTTGTGGCCTTCGAGGTGTGTTATCAGAGACCCATATTTAAAAGTCAACATGGTTTTTGCAGTGGGATCGAAGCAGCCGCACTGCAAGCGAACTCCTGGATCTACAATATTCGTCATACGTATCCCGCTGCATTTCCTTGCCAGAGTTCACCAACTCCGGTAAGTTTGCACAACATACTCTGACGGGTTCTTATCTGGGAACAGATACCCGAATACCGAGGGAAGTCAACCGGGAAAGCAATTGAAATGTAGAATTAAACCTTTGAGATGTGGCGCAGCCACATCTCAAGGAAATCTTTGGACTCTTTGACGACGCAAATCTTTGGACTTTCTTTCTGGTCTTGAATGGTATGAGGCTCTAGTGAAGACTGCTGAGCCTGAGTCGAACATCCCTGAAAAACCGTTGAGCTTTTCAGGACCGATCACTCTCTCCTATGTCCCCTTATCCTGTGGAGTCCTCATATCCTCAATCGATTGACCAGCTTGTTCCGTTCATTAAACAAGAGCCGCTCACACAAATGACAATGATACCAGCTTACGGTACTTGTGCACAGGTAATCTACTCGATTAGCAAACCCACCCGAAGGAGGTTATAATTTTCGTTGGTTCCAGATAAAAGTCGAAATTCCAATGAAAACGATGCCACCGATCTCGATGTTCACACCCGAGAGTTCGTCACCAGAATCGTCCGCTTCGCTGACTTCGACCCTATTTGCTCAGCCCTTCTTCTCAGGGACGAGCGTTCCAAATGATTCCACAATGGCAATGGAAGATTTCAACTGTATTCTTCCTTTAACACTCAAAGGAACTTTGCCTGATCTCCGTGATGGTCTCGATGATTTCTTCAGAGAGGTACGGTAATTTTTCGTTGCTGGTAGGTATTAATTTTGAGACTTGTAGGTAGAGCAACCACCCGAAAGCGCTCGTTCTTCGGCAGCAGCTCCGATGGCGACTACGGCTTCGGCAACTTACTCTCCTGAACAAGCCACTGATCTCTTCAAATATCTTGGTCCAGCTCTTTTCGGTGGCCCATCCGTTCAGACTATGGAATCATTCCGAGTGTCGAACTCACTACCGAGTGGTGTTCACTGTCCGCGTAAACGAAGTTGGGTGGTCTGAATACGATGAAGATCCTACAACGAACTTCGAAAGGGTCCAGAGAGATTCTCATCTAGGCTGTATTCAATGTGTATTTATTTTTGTTTGCCTTTGTATAAATAACTAGTCTATTCACTGCTCTTAATGAGACGTTTCTCATAGAAACCTGATTGTCAGCATTGTTTTATGTGCAGTATTACGTCGGGTAGAGCATATCACTCCTCATTGTGCATTGTCTTTCCATTATATGTGATATTTATATGTATATTTATGTCAAAATTTCTATGATACTCGAATCCTTTGATAAATTATTTATCATAACATTTTGAAGAATCCGATGAAGCCGACTTTCCCACATCAGCATGACTTCCTATCGTCACTACACAGTTCCCATCATCCGAACATAGTTTTTTTGCTTTGATATTACCAAACTGTATCTGTGTACAGCGCAGCACAGAATATTCTCGACATGGAACAATATGTGCCTAGAGTGGTTGGTCCACTGCATAAACTCCGCCCACGTACAGATCACGCCCTTCCGTTGGTATTCCTGTAACTACTGAAATGCTCTCTATTGTGTTGCGGTTTGCAGATAAAATTGCAACTCGAGAACTAGACAAAAAAGTTCATATGAAGATCAGAACTTTTCGAGAATGTCTCGACGATTGCCCTTTGGTGTTCATCAACAGGATAATGATTTTTTTGATACTCTATTTGAATATTTTTGGTAATTTCCAATCAGTTCCTGAGTACATGTGGAAGACAAGGTCATAACAAGCTCCATCACTCTATGCTACTGCCACAAACCATTACTTTCTCGGGAACTGACTTCTCAAACGGCTTGGTGTCGGATTCGAAGTGGATATTTTACTTCTGAGTTAATTTTAAGGTTCTACTTCTCCTTTTTCGGCAGTTTCGGGATTATTGACCTGTCTTGAGCTGCTCTTTTTCATCAGTTCAAGTAGTTTTCAAGGGCAATTACATAAAAATTTCCATGATGAGTTGTATTCTGGAATGGAACTGGAATGGTCTTCGATCTCACAACAAAATGATTTCAAATCACGGCTGCAATGACATTTGAAAACTTTAGAGAGAACTGATAACAGATTGAGCCTGATGTAATGCTTCATAAGTTACTGTAGACTATATCCCGATGAGTGCCGTATTTTGCTGAACACCTGCAGCTCCATACTTGTTGAGAGGATTTCGGGACTGATGACTGCTGTTGATGATATTCTGTACCTTCTATGCATCTAGGTCTACTCGAATATTCAATTCAGTTTTACTACATATTTATTAGGTACATGACTAGACAACAAAGACCTGATATTGGAACGAGATCACTACAAATTAAAGCCTATAACCAGGAATCATGTAGTATCAAGAAAGACGAACGTCAGATCGCTTTATCACATGACAATTCCATGTAGATTTTATTCGTCAAAACGTAGAGAGCTTTTGTGACAGTTGCACCAAATCGCTGTGCTAATTGCTTTTCTGGAGTCTTTGAGAAGATTTTCTGAAATTCATTATGTATATGAAAATTAAGAAGACGTAATGATCTCTGTATCCTGGAATCCCCAAATCATCTCTGTTTATTTTTCTTATTGTTTACTTATTTATCCATTGAGACGTCTTGAAGATAGGGCTAGGTTGCAACATTGTTGTGCAGGCTTCAGGTGAACGAATTTTTTTACTAGTCGAAATCGCAAAGAGAATTTTTTGCGCATATAAAGTTCAGGGAAAAGCGGAGCAAGAACGGCTTAGTGTGCCATGCACTTGAGTACGCATGGAACTGAAGTGTCCTTTGATTGAAAAATGGATCTAACCGGGAGCTTTGTGCCAATCAGTGCCCTAAGATTTGTTCCCTTATTCAGATAGGCAAAAGCAGTACTATATGCTGAAGCTTATTCCCTCCGCTCCCAAGCTACCGTAATAAACATCCTGTGACTCGACTGTGTTAATTGATGAGCCTATATCGGGGATATTCTGCTGAACAAGAGTCAGACCAATTAGAGTTGCTAAAGTTGCCCAAGCTGTTTCCGATGTTCTGTTATGAGGAAAAACACATGGACACAAATAGGATGAAAAACCGCTTACCGTAGCCAGCTTCACAGATTGTGCAGGAAGGCTATCGAGTATGGCGCACAATTCTTCTGTTGTCGCCAATTCTGTGCTGTCCGATGGGAGACAATCGCTCTGAAAAGTTCTATATATACTCGGAGAACTTACTTGGCAATAATATACCGCTCAGTTGCCCTAAAAACCTTTTGTACCACTGAGGGAGCTTTATAAGGCGTAAAGGTGGAGGATTGCTACAAAGCTCGAATTGTTCTCATAGTTTTGACATACATAGCTGTGATTTTTCAAAAAACTGAATTACAACGTAGTGGATCTTCGTTTACCGTCTTGCACAGGCTGGAATTCCATCATTATCACAAGGGTTTTATTCAAAAATCAAAAAGCTCGAAAACTCAGAAGGTTTCCTTTTTCAGTGATGTCCCAGGAGTCTCCAACAGACCACTGAGCTGGCCATCTTTAGCCACCCGTCGGATAGACGTTTGCTTACTTGGACACTTGATCACCTCTTCAAGCACGCAATTTTCCTCTCCAGGTCGCTGTTTTGTTTATTTTTCATAGTTCGCAGCACATCATTAGTAATTCAGAAAGTGGATTATCCAAATCCAAGTAAATGTTACGGAAGAGCTAAGCTGGCAAAATATGATCAAATATTTGTTGACGAAGATGACGATGCAGGCCGTCATTCAAGCTTAGAGGGAGGTGCATAAGGTCATCCAAGGATTTTGAATTGTTTTCGGCAGTTTACAGCATCACAGCAGTAAACAATTCAAAATCCCTATATGACCTTAAACACCTCCTTCTAAGCCTGAATGACGGCTTGCAGCGTCTTCTTCGTTGTATAGCTCTTGTACAGATTGTAGTGGTCATGAGAAGTGGAACTTCGAGAGGGGTTCTGAATTCTGCAAACAGAGAATTAAATGGCCAAATAGCTTAGGTAATTCTACGTTGTCGAGAACGATGGTGGAGGGGAGAAGAAGGATGTAGGAGCAAACTTCATGTTCATAGTACCCTGCAACGGCTGATGAAGAGCTCTATGAGAAGACTTTGAAAAGCCTCTGAGGAAGTGAGGTATCGACTACAGGATAGTATGTGGTGTTCATGTGGATCGCTTATGATTTCGGGGTGATCAAGTGTTCAAGTAGGAGGAACGTCTGATTGACTGGGTGGCTAAAGATGTTTAGCTCAGTGGTTTGCTAGAGTCTGCTGGGTCATCCCCAAAGAGGGAACGTTTACAGCACGCCTCCCATTCATTGATAAAATTCTACTGGTGGTCTACCAGTTCACATTCAGAAAAAGTTGGCTAGCTGTGTTCAATGGGCGATCCTGCTACTGGGTGACTCCTCAATAACAGCTACCCATTCGCTAGTGCTTCCCTCAGAGACGACGCACTAGATTCAACCCATGATACCATATTCTCTCTTGGGTGCAAAATCAGATGACCACTCGTGCCCGATCGCACAGCTGTTGCTTCCAGTCTATATAACCGAATTTCACTCTACTGCGCTTGAAGCTGCTGCGAACCGAACGCTTTTTGAAGAAAAAACTGACAGTTACCTTAAATCGAAGCTCCATGACACGTTCACGACTGTATTCCAATGAAAGTTTTCCCATCAAAACACATTGCATAGTAGCAGCTGGTGACGNCAAGTGGGAGAAACTCTGTTTGACTGGGTGGCTAAAGATATTTAGCTTAGTGGTCTGCTGGAGTCTGCTGGGTCAATCCCAATAAGGGAACGTTTGCAGCACGACTCCCATTCATTGATAAAATTCTACTGGTGGTCTACCAGTTCACATTCAAAAAGAGTTGGCTAGCTGTGTTCAACATGGGCGATCCTGCTTCTGGGTGACTCCTCAATAACAACTACCCACTCGCTAGTGCCTTCCCTCAGAGACGACGCACTAGATTCATCCCATGATACCATATTCTCTCTTGGGTGCAAAATCAGATGACCACTCGTGCCCGATAGCGCACAGCTGTTGGTTCCAGTCTATATAACCGAATTTCACTCTACTGCGCTAGAAGCTGCTGCGAGTGCTGTTTGAAGAAGAATCTGACGCTTACCTTGAATCGGAGCTCCATGACACGTTCACGACTGTATTCCAATGAAAGTTTTCCCATCAAAACACATTGCATAGTAGCAGCTGGTGACGCACAGAGCTCATCCGTAACCAACGCTATCGCACTTGGCTGAAATTTGAAGGTATTTTGAGACATCTACTCGTAATTTACCTTTGTTCAATATGATTTGGCCTGGG